GTTCTGGGGCCACGGGGACTGGGACATGCTCGAGGTCGGCAACGGGAACCTGACGCTGCAGGAGAGCAGGAGCCATTTCGCGTTTTGGGCCGCGCTGAAGAGTCCGTTGATCATCGGGACCAAGTTGGAGGGCATTCAGCCCGAGATTTTGCAAATCTTGTCCACGAAGGAGCTGGTGAAATTCAATCAGGATCCGGAGTTCGGGGCCGCGGCGCAGCCGTATAAGTGGGGGGTGAACCCGGACGGAGCGTGGAACATTACGCACCCTGCCGAATTCTGGTCCGGGGCTTCAGTGGAGGGGACACACGTGTTTGTGCTCAACACGCTGGGCGGCACCGAGAAGAAGACGGTCGCGTTCAAGGATGTTCCCGGGCTGGAGGCCGGGAAGAAGTATGTTGTGCACGACATGTGGACTGGCAAGGATCTCGGCGTGTTCGAGGACGAGTACATCGTGGAACTGGAGAGTCACGATACGGCTGCTTTGAGGATCAACGAGGTCAAGTGCGTGAAGAGGGCGGCACGGGGATGATGGAAGAGACAGGGATCCGGCCCGAGGGGGCAGGGATGGGTTGGTCACTTGGGTTCGGGGCGTGTTCAAGAGTCTATTGGGTCGCGGATGCAAGGGGCAGAATAGACGTCAATTGCGATGATTCGGCAGAGAAGAAACCGCACAATGAGCCATGATGCGACTCCTGAATCGAGAAAAGCTGGTTGATTTATGTTCAGCGCCGATGGATAACATGAAAACATCCACCATGGAAAACTTTCTCACAAAATACCAGGAAACGCAACGGTGTTATGTACGACCTTGTTTACCTCTGCCGATAGCACGCAATCTCATCTCGCATTTGATTAAACCCGCCGCCCAGCTACCCGCCTCGCGCATACCAGCAGTCCACGAAGCTATTCCCAAAACTCACGCGTCGCCACTCCGCCGACCCGGCAAATTCATATTACCTCACGTTCCCGCAGCACCACCTCTGCTGATCCTCGCTTCTAGCCCTGTTCTGCGTGTAAGGTAGACTTCGGATGGGTGACTGGCCGAAGACGAGGACGTGAGCACCCAAGGTGGATTTTGCCCTCCTCCCTTCCATTGGAATGCATTCCCCAGGACGACGGGATGACAACGCATTCCCGGTGGCAAGATTAGACTGAGACCTCAACCCACCACTCGATTACCCTTTCCAAACAAAAAACCAAACATGGCTACAGTCATCATCACGGATGGCGGTTGGTTGGGTCTGGGCAGCGCCGCAACGAAAGGACCCTTTGAGGCAGAGGTATGCTGCCAGCCATTTCCATTTTGTGAGGCGGAAATCCGTGTCATCCATCTTTTCTTCGTCCTCGTGATTCACCTCCAGGCCGTGTTCAATCTCCTCTCTTTCGCTCTGTACGAGTGTTCTTACTATTCTGGATTTGGTTCTCATTCTTTCCTACACTTGTTTACACACTACTTACCATTTGCCAGAAGTGCTCACCAGACCGTTGTTCACTTTCCATCTTTCTTGACTCTTCCTAATCTAATCCCTAATACGAATATTTGGAGACAGTAACACAGAAGACGAAAGAAGGGGGAAGCCGACTGTGAATACCCGAGAACACACTCACGCCATGAGAGACCCGATATCTGGCCTGTGATCTCATCACCTTCAGTCCCTCAGTCAACCGTTAGATCTCGTCTTCAGAACACCAAACCCACACAACCATATCACAACATCCCAGTCTCTTCCCGGAGATGTCGAGCCTGCGACTCCGCATCCGCGAGGAGGTAGATGGGGGAGGGGGCGGAAGCGGCGGCGGCATGACCCTACCACTCGTCCTCGCCATCGCCATAGGAGGCGGCGTCCTCCTCTTCATATGCCTCGCCTTCTTCCTCATCGCCCTAGCAGGCCGCCGCCACCGAGCCCGCGCCCGAGCCCGATCGACGACGCCCAGAACAAGACTCGACCTCGACTCGGATGGCGGCTCCATCCGCACGCCCAGCCCGCGTCCGCGGCGCCTCACGAAGCCGAAGCCGGGCGAGCCGTACGCGGACATGGTCGAGGTCCAGGGGAAGAAGCAGCCTCCCCACCGCTCCCTCTCGTCCATCATCAGCGTGCCCAGGAGCAAGAGCTGGAGCGTCTTCAGCAGCACGCCTTCGGAAGGTGCTGGCGGGCAGCAGCGTGGAGGACACCTGAGAAGGAATAATAGCTGGATTGACGAGGATGCGATTCACGGGCCCAGAGTGCAGAGTGATGGTCGGCGGCTGAGTATCCGCGACAGCTTCATACTACGCACGCCGACGTTACCGGATCTGTTTGGGCACAAGGGCGAGGGGGATGGTCATTTCGACGACGACTGTGTAAACTACTCCATTGAACAGCCTCGGCCGGTCAGCATGCCGGCACAGCGTGGCCAGCCTTTGCAGATGCCGTTGCCGAGGACGGCATCGTACGAGCTGGCCGAGAAGCTGGCGGCTGCGGCGAGGGGGGGACCGCCTGTACTTCCAACCCCCCAGGGACCGGTACCTCGACCGGTGCCGTTGCAACGGCTGCGGCACAAGACGACGGAGTCGGATCTGGCCGAGATTTTGCGTTCCACGGAAGAGAGACTGCAGCTCGGGACACCAACAAATAGCCGGCCGGCCACACGACAGAGGGCTGCATCGGCATCAGCTGGGTCCAGCGTCAAGACCCCGCGAGGGTCGCCGACAAAGTCGCAATCTCCCATTAAGGCTCAGTCACCGATCAAGATCCCGTCACCAGTCAAGAACCAGTCGCCTGTCCGGTCACGATCTCCGGCAAAAACTCAAGTGCTGTCACACGTTGGCCAGGCGTTAGACCTTAACGCCCAGCGAGCTCGAACACCCAGCCCGTCGAAGCGAATGGTTATTCCAATGCTTGTTCAGACTCCAAACCACCACAATAGGAACACTTCACAGTCTTCGGCTGTCTCAGATGCGGATAGTCTGTTTGGCGAAACGACCCCGGAAGTTGAACACATCTTGCCAACAGGACTTTCGAGCCCCAGCAGACGATCCGAGCATGAGTCCCCGACCAAGCCCACCGACAACGGCGCATCGATAGAATCCCCTGGCAGCGATGCCTCATCGTCTCTGTCAACCTTGTATAGCGTTAACGAACCCGAGGATGACAGCAAGACCGGCGGTACTGGACACGCAGACAGCACCCCCCGCGGCAGGAAACCCAGGAGCCTTGTCATTGATACTCAAATATGTGATCCTTTCATCACACCAGGCCCGCCAGAAGTGCCTCCAAGGAGCCCCAAACGCCAGTCTTCCAGCTTGCCGCCTCTCCGACGCATGACGCCGCCCGAAGAGGAGATCCTGAACCGAACACCTACGAAGGTGACATCTGTTGCCAACTCTCCTATACCGAGACCGTTGGACGTCATCAAGCGCAGCAGCACGGCCGACCAACTCCAGACGCGGTACTCCATCATGATGCAACCATCCGACCTGGCAGCATCGCCTGAGACCATTCGCCCGAAGAGCGTCATGTCGATGAAGCCCGTCTTCCTCGTCTCAAGTAACAGCGTTGTGAGCATGAGAGCCAGCCCTGGCACGTCTCCTGAGGATAATGGCAGCAGGCCAGCGATGCCGAATAACAGGTTGACGTTCGGCCCAAAGGCACCTGTCTTCCCACCGCCCTTGGCCTTGAAAGCTGGCCTGGGATCGCCAAACCGAGAGGCCTTGAGAATGGGTAGCCCAGGCGGGAAAATATCGCCATCACGCGGCAGTCCTTCCCCTTCAGGTCGTGCTGGTCGTCAATCGACCGACTCCGCCGCATCTCCCGTTCCTGGCTCGCCAACTCGAAGACCACTGCCGAGCCCCGACCTGTCAAAGGGAGGATCTCCGACACCAAGGCGATATAAGCGTGGGATGGCTAGTCCAATTCGTGACCGTGCATTGTCCAGACAGCCGACGCCCAGAGAATCCCGCGTCGAGCGCGTTCTCTCGAGCTCAGATTGCCCTTCGATCGTGCTGAAGCCATCCAGCTCCCCCAAGCGGAACTCATACCATCGCGACTTCGCGGTAATGGGGCTTCAGTCAACCGTGGCTCAGCTTCGGCGAATGAATAGCCAAATGAGTACCTTCAGCGCCGGTTCATCTATTTCGGATCCGGATAGTCCGACACTACCAAACTTGAGAGGAGGCGGGTTCAGCCCCGACAGGAGCAACAGCCGCGTAAGCAAAATGGGTCGACAAAACTACTTGTCTTTAGGCACGAGCCCAGGCTCAGCGAAGCGGACCAAGTCCATCAAATCGGCTAGAAATTCAATCGCCGTGCTCAAGAGCCGACCAGGGGGAAACAAGCATCTTGATTCGCTACGCGCTGCAGTTGAAGAGAAGGAAAATGAGAGAAGAAACGGTTCTCTGATTCGAGGCCCCCGGCCGCTCAACCCGACACCCAGAAGTGCCGGACGAGGGTTGGCTAGAGACAGCGTGGTGACTGTGGAGAGTCCCACGAGGAGAAGAATCTCCAGCGTCGATACCGAAGACCAGAAACGTCTGGAGAGGCCGATCAAGCATCAAGATAGCGGTACCAGCTTGGGTGCATACGGGAAAGAGGACTACCTGTTAAGCTCCCCAGACAGCCTCACTGCAGGGGCTGAGAGACAGAGCCCAAACATGAGGGTTTGAGTCCCAGAGTCTGGGGAATTTTCTTTTGTCCCATAGTGATCCATATTGATTAAGGGGTGTTGCGTTCAGCGACGGTTAGCGAGCACTTTCTTCAGGGTTGAATATTTCTAAGCTGAGCACGGCGTCATTGTAATACCTAGGCAGTAGGCCATTAGCAAAATTCAGATACAAGCATCACTCAAATCAACGAATTATACCACAAAAGAAAACCATATTCCCTCCAAACTAAAACCTAATAGTTGATTGGGATTTTATGCGAAAAAGAATGGTATTCTTACGTCGGTTTTATGAGCCCGAGTCTTATCCATGGTATCAAGTCGTCCCTCGTCAACTCCCAAGCCTCATTCGCGGTATGCACTTATGACTCGTCGACCCGCGGGCGCTTATTGCCCGGGTCGTCATGGCCATTGACGCCGTTGTTGGCCTCATCGTGACCGCGAACCCGACCTGCTCCCTCTCCTAGCTGGCCGCTTTCCTGATCCTCATTGCCATTCTGACCGATCCAGTTGCCGTCGGCGTCGAAGTGCTCGTGGACGTTCTCGGCCGTAATCCAGCCTCCGCTCCCAGGGAAGGCAGGAGGCAGGCCTCCATCGGCGGCGCCGTACAAGACTCCTTCGTATCCCTCGACTGGCTCATGCTCGCCCTCGAAAATGATCCGGCCGTCCTCTTCCTCATCATCCTCGTCGACAGGGTCGGGGTGAAGATCTGAGCAGGCTGAGATAGCGTCGTAGAACTTCTGAATATCGGCCTGGGCGCCATCAGTGACCGCAGGGACGAGAGTCAGATCGATCGTATCGAAGTCGTCATCGCCGTCACCGCCGTCGGCAAGTTGCAGCTGCATCCAGATAGCCTGAAGAGGAGCATCTTCGGAGATGGATCCGACCGACTTCACGGCGTGAATAGAGATGGAGGGGTAGGGGATCTGAACGCCAGCTCCTTGGGTCGAAGAGAAGATGGTGAAGGTCCTATGACGCAAATTAATATAGGGTAACGCCCGTTTCGGTGGTAGCAAACATACTCTGAAGAAACAAACACGGAGACATGCTGCTCCACGAGCTCTTCAGTGGTCTCCTTCAAGGTCGTGCCATTGGGAGCAGAGGCAGCAGTCGAGACATCAGCCGGGAAGATGGCCAAGCTGCCCTTTTGCGACGCTGGGATCCATGCCTTCGCATCCTCGAGATGGAAATGAAGGACGGGCTTTCCTCCGAAGAAGGTCGCAGGAGTAGCCGACTGATACTCCTCAATTGGAGTAAAGTCTCCAAGAGAGGGAGGAGAGCGAATGGTTGTGGGCAGCATGTTGATGAAGTGTAAGAGATCCTTGAAAGGACTCTGCTTGGGCTGACCTGTGAGACCCTTCATGGTGGGGTGCTTGCCTTGGAGCTGGAGAAAGTGAAGCTCTTATCGCTATCACCACGTGATGATATTGATAAAGGAAGTGACATTCAGCAACCTGGAACTTTACCAAGAAGGAGTTGGGGGCTGAGGTAATCAGGGCGGTGGAACGGTCAGGTGATTGATCATTGGTCAGCAGGGTCAGGTCGATCCGCAAGCCCCACCTGAACGCTCGGTGGGGTCTGAGCTCTCCACCGACATTCTCCCAGAGTCCGATCGCACTCCGTTGCCTCGGACAGCTACGCACTCGCATCGCACCTCTTTCCATGGCGCAGAGCTGACGAATCCCCTCCAACCGGCGCAAACACTACAACCTGCAATCACGCTCTTGATCGGCATTTCTGAGTATCAGAAAACTCTAAAGAGGCCTATTGCTACCCTGAACGAGCTTGTATGACCCTCAAAACGGCTCATATAGTCCTGTTCCACCCTCATTTGCACACTGACACCTACGTACTCAAGGCCAGACTTGCTACCCACCATGTATAGCAACCGTACGTACCCTTCCGCTCCCTTTGTGTCTTTACGTAGCTCGAATTACTTATCATCGCGATAGGCTCCCATCCGCTCCTCGAGCAGGTCCCCTTGACCGTCTCTCCGTTCATTTCCCTCCCCACCGCGACAACACTCTCCTACAACTACAAGGCTATGCCCTCAGCCCTGCCCCCCTCAGCAATAGGCGTACCAGCCGCAGTCACCGACGATTCAGCAGCTGGAGACGCCGCCGCAAATAAACCCAAGTATGTGATCTCGCAGTCAGGACACGCAGCCCATCCGGATGATATCATCGCCTCGTGTCGCGCGCTACAAGCACACATTACAAAGATGCAGGAGGACGCCGAGCGCGACCTGCGGGACCTCGAGACCAGGATAAAAGAGCGAGAGCTGGCTGAGAAGAGAAGAGTTGCGCCCGGCTGGCTGGACAGTGAAGCCCGGATACTCGAGCCGGAAAAGGTCGGCGGGCCATCCGAGGAGGAGGATGGGCATCAGACATCAGCTGTAGCGGGGACCAGTGAGATGCCGTTGAACGATCAAGGTGCGGAGCTAGACCGAGTGTTTGGCGGGTTGAGCATGAAGTGAACCCTCTTCGGCTGATTGAGATCTTTTGTTTTATTCGCGGGCGTTGTGCATGAAAGCCGGGGCGGCCTCATCTATTGATATCTTTCACACGGCCAACTTGCCGTTGCCGCGACGGATTTGGTTGAATTGGCGAACCATCTGCATGGGGGGGATCAGACAATGCTTTGGCTACTGATGTTGCGACACGGAGTCGCTTGCGCGAGCCTGATCAAAAGCCAAGCCAAGCCAGCCAGCCAGCCTGGGTGGAGCGCGGCTCCCTGAATACTTGTACACACTGGGCAATCTATTACACCGACTATAAGGAAAAGTATGGAGAGGGTCCAGCTGTATACAGTTTAAGCTGCCTCCAGGAGATGGGAATATCGTGCAAGCGGCATCTCTTCGTACGCCGCACTCCTAAGGATACTCCTCAAGCTGGTTGGACTTGTAGGTAATGACCTTCTCTCAATTGACAAGAGCGGAAACGCTCCGTCACAAGTTGTCAATCTTTCCGTATTGAACCGAATACATACAGCCTCACATGCAAATCACTAGACCACATCATCAACCCGTCCAACCATCGTCGTTGTTCCTAAGGCTTCGTGCCTCGGCGCCCCCAGGGCAGAAGTAGGCGAACACCTGGAAGGCCGGATGCTAAGGAGACTCGATAATCGGGCCAAGTGTAGTAGTTTACGTGACAACATGATATCGGAGTTTCTCGCCAAGCTTGGAAAGCCAAACCGAGGTCCCTGAGGTCATAGTTCACCGTAGAGCCTTGCTCCATAGGAAATCTCTCAGCGCCAAATGGGGCTGTGCTTTTCTAGGGGCCGTTTGAATATCATATTCAAATGAGCTCTAGATCTAAGGCTGGGTTATACCTACTTAGCTGGCGATTGGGGGGGGGGGGGGATCTCTGGCACGTTTAGCAGCTTACTTAACTAAGAGCAGGTCTTTGTGAAGCCAACGTACTAACATGAATCAAATGTCCCAACCCGATGCCTGACAAGATACCGACCCGGCGCAACCGCTCTAAAGACCTACTAGCGTAGGAACACTATAGCCGATATGACTTCATGGATAGGATGCATCCGGAGATTACTTCGCCGAGTTATCTCAATAGCAAGAGGCGGACACGCTCGATACTGCATCACGCCTAAGTAATCCTACTGTGATGCTTTGGGCCATCAACTATCCAATGCACGTATGTATCGAGTTCCGGAAAGAAGACGTGATCAGCAGAACCATCCCAGCTACTTGTACGGTACCTGAGAGCGAGACTACGGCCTAAGAGTCGGGCTCTTAAGCCCCGTCTACCGTTTTCAATTTCTAATAGAACACAAGATAAGGTGAAAGGACGGAAGGTGGGCAGGGGTCGCAATCGCCCTTTGATTTGATTTCGCTCCGCTTGTGTAGTCAGTCGCTTCATGATTTGAGAGCCTAAAAGGACACCATTTGAACATGAGGCGTACTTTCTACACACCCCTCAACCCTACGCTCGGCAGGTACATGAGCTGCTATCGCGTCGCCAGACTTGCTTTTCCATTTACACCAGCCTGGCAGCCATGATAATGCACCGATAGGACTGAAATCAGGACCCTTGAAAGACTAGATGAACACTACACAGGCTCGTCTAGAACTAGGTGATCAGTAAAGGTTGGCGGACTAGCTCGCCGAGGTATACGTTCCAAGTTTAGGATACCTCTCAATTCTCTCAAGGGTAGATAGCGAATAGTCTGAGAACCTCGGGACCTGCTGCCACATATAGGCCCTACTTCCCGAGATCTTGCTGTTCCGCTTCGCGTGGGGGAGCCACGCTAAGACCTTGTCCCCTACCGGCAGTGGCCCCCGCGCCGCCGCTTTGCTCGGCCGGGAATGAGGAACGACCCGAGTCGTGTATGACAAGTTTCGTTACAAGTTCGGCATACCGATATTTGCGAAGGCCGGCACTTATAGTTCGCCCTTCGTCGTTTTGGCATCCAGCCGTGTGGTCTAACTTGCGGGAAACGGACATTTTCGGTGAACTTGACACTCGTTCTTTCTGCTTTCTTGGGAGGAATCACCGTGGCATTACTTCATCTTCTGCCCAATAACGATCTTCGAGCTATGCCATGTTCCTTTTCGGCAGTGCGGCACTTGGATTGCCATGGTGCCAAACGAGGCACTGATGATATATAGATGAACCCTCGGCCAAACCCTTCGAACAACCTTAGATGTTTATTATCATCCGCTTGATCTTGTCTGAGATACCACTCTATGATTGGAATCGGCATCAAATCTTCCCTTCAAGAAAATCACAATGGGCTTTAAAGTCATCATTGTCGGCGGCAGCGTCTCGGGCCTCTCTTTGGCTAACATGCTGGAGAGGCTCGACGTCGACTACACCCTCCTCGAAGCATACCCCAATATTGCGCCACAGGTTGGCGCGAGCATTGGTTTACTACCCAATGGATTTCGCATCCTTGACCAGCTTGATTGTTTTGAGCCAATCCTTGAGATGGTTGGGGAATACCACCTGAAGAATAGCCTCTGCGGCCCAGATGGCAAACCACTAGGCCCGCCTAGCATGGCGAATATCCAACACCTAGAAGCCCGGTAAGCTGAGGCCGGAAGAGGATGCCGAATGAAAACGTAGCAGAAGAATGACAATCGGTCTTTGAACTAGGCTTGGTTACCCTTCCATCTTCATCGACAGACAGATGCTTCTGCAGGTTCTCTTCGACAACCTGAAGAACAAAGATAAAGTCATACCAGAGAAACGGGTTGAAAAGGTAGAGCTCCTCAAGGAAGGGGTGCGTGTACACACCAAAGATGGCTCCGTTTTTGAAGGCGACATCGTGGTCGGGGCAGACGGCATCCATAGCACCGTCCGGGAGGAGATGTGGCGCATCGGCCATGAAGAACGACCAGGCTACTTTCCTCTTGATGAACACTCTCGTAAGTCGCCGATTGCTGAGGCCTGACCTGAAAACTGGCTGCAAGTCCCTTAAGAAGCGTAGCTACAGTAGCTCGTATGCTTATTGTGTCTAAACTGAAGCCCTAACGATGTTGTCTAGGAGTACCCGTCGCGACGAAATGCATCTTTGGCATCTCCAAACGCCCGAGCAACCTCCCCATCCATAATCAACAGATGGTCTTCAACGAAGGCAGAAGTTACCTTATCATTAGCGCACCTGGCAATCGGACCTACTGGTTCCTGTTTTCGGGCGTCGGAGACACCAAGTACGGAAAGGACATACCAAAGTATTCGAAGGAAGACACCGAGAAGCTGGCTCTGGAGCACTGGGAAGATCTAGTCTTTGAGAACGTCACATTTGGCGACGTCTACAAGAACAAGATCATGGCTACTTTGGTGCCACTGGAGGAGTACGTCTTTGAGAAGTGGCATTACCAACGAATCGTATGTATCGGCGATGCTAGTCACAAGGTTGGTTCAGATCCCCCGCTTATCGTTGAGACTCTTACACTGACATTGGATCCCTTCATAGATCGATCCCATCTCCGGCCAAGGAGGTAACGGCGCCCTGGAAGCCGCGGCGCTTCTCACAAATTCCCTGACCGACATGTTGGAAAAGAACCCCAAGTCTCAGCCGACAGAAATTGTCGAAGCCGCCTTGGCCCAAGTCCACATCAACCGCCACGAGCGAGCCAAGACCTTGGTAGCGAATGCGCATACGCTTCAGCAGGTCTTGACTGGAAGATCGCCGTACTCTAAGATCGTCACCAAGTACCTCGTTCCCCTGTTGGGTGATGAAGGCTTCCTCGGCACAGCGGTCCCCATTTGCAAAGCAAGCCACAGGGTTTACAGGCTTCCCTTGCCCCAGCGACGCCGTCTTGTGCCTTTTGACGATGAACTCCCTGCCCGACCCATAACAACTCAAGCAGCATCGAGAATGGCTCTGGTCTTGGCATCCGGGTTCTTCGCGGCGTTGCTCTACTATTCTGGCGGTTTCACCCACTTTTCCGAGTTGAAAAAAAGCGTCAGACTATGGATGGCTGGAGCATGGAATCTTGGCCTCGCTAAAGCAACTTCAAATCTGACAAAGACATCCTCGCTTGGTAGCCTTATTGAACAGATCCAATTCAAGGCAAGTCTCTTCTGTGCTATAGTCATCTGGCTTGCAGAGAGTCATCGATTTGGCAACAGGCTTTCGGTCCTTCTATGGTAGGTTTCCCACCGCCAATGTCCCGCCACACACCGATCTAATGTGAGGAACTGTAGGCCTTCGATTTCCGCTGCCGCTTTCACGGCCTTCGGACCCAAAGCCGTTATGCCACTCCTGGGTCTCGGCATAGTCACTCGAGGCACCAATACTCTGCCTGGTAGACACGTGCCAGTCAAATACGCCAAGGCAATACTGCCGTCGGCCATCGTTGGCTACGCCATCCCTACGATCCTCGCCAGCCAGCCAGTTCAAGACCCACAGATCCGACAGACCCTCGGTCTCGTTGCATCTGCCGCTCCAGTCTTCAGCGCGGCTCTACTTAACGGCGTTGCCTCGGCCATACAGCAGGTGAAGGATATAACTTCGTTCATGAAGGCCACCAAAGACGTAAAGGAAACAGACAAGGACGAGTTTGTTGAAATGTACGACAAGAAGGATGTAGTACCGCTCAAGATGGCATACACATTCGCGGCGGGCGCCTGCGCTACCGTTCATATCGCAAGCGCGGTGTATCCCATCCTGGCGACAACTTCATTCAGCAACTTGGCAGGTGGTCTTAACACGAGCATCGGCTTATTCGGACTCGCTTCTGCTGCTTTGTCCCTCTACTCGGCGTGGAACTTGCGATCAGAGGGTTTTGTTACAACTCAGCAGGCATTGCTTGGCTCTCTGGGGTCCATTGCTAGTGGCTTTGCCGTAGGCCCTGGAGCAGCGCTTGCAGGCTTCTACTACTGGCGTGAAAGCGTTTTAGATGCCTTGGGCAACTAGTCATTGGTACCCGGAATCCAGTTTCAAGCTGGACGACGTTGGGAGGTGTAGATAGTAGAACACAAGCTAGATTATTCCCCATATTTTAGCAACATAGTAGCAGAATCGCGTTGTAGCTTACATCATTTACTATCATCATACCATTTGATGGCTTACATGTATCAGAAGTCAAAGTTGTTTCCAGCGCCTGCCAATAGGAACTCCAGAGCCGACGGAAGCTGCAGCATATCCATAGTATCTGCATCAGTGAGGCCCATATCGTCTCCCACGAAGCCAGTGCCGTAAGCCTGCCCGTCTTGGGACATATTACCAACTACAGCTGCCGCGTACTGCTCCACCGGATCTCTAGCTAAACTATGCCCTGGTGCCGCATCTATATGCTGTGAGCCATAAGCTGGGCCAGAAACTAGAGGCCGCCCTGGAACACCATTTCCCACGGATGCTGACGATCCGACGATGGTGTGATCGTTATGTCTCAGAATGTCGGTCGGAAGAGAGATCCTGGAAGGATTCTGCTCTCCAAAATTAGCCACTCGATCGCTCGCGCCATCAAATCGGGTGGATTGCTGGTCAAGATCGCAACTCCTTGGTCGTTTCGGCTCGAATAGATTCAGCAGACTTTGCGCGTACAACCACTGGGATTTCATTGCATGCAATGTCTGTATCATGGATTCAGTATGGCGCTTTGACTTGGCTGCGACGATTGGATTGCTAGAGTGCATCTGGCTTGCTGTGTGAACCAGAGCTGTGAAGAGCATGTGAAGGCTTGGAAGCCACAAGCCGGCCAGCATCTCTCTCTTCCGCAAAGACTCAAAGATGGAGGCGATTGTAGTCGCTGCGTCAGAACATATGGTCAGATCGTTGCTTGCTTCTACTGAAGAGGGTCCCGATACTGTCCGAGGAGGCGGCCGATGAAGGAGGATGAGAAAGTTGTTGTATGTGATGTGGAACATTGACTGCCAAATGTCTGGAACCCCTGAGGATAGCTGGAGTCGTTCGGGCAGATTGGTGACCAACTCAGCGAGCGCAATATCAGCTTTCCTTGTCGCCTCAGCCTTTTCTCCTTCTTTGCAACGTAGAGCAACTCGCTTTTTCATAACCTTTGCGAAAATGATGCACAGTTGTGTATGCTGAACTATGAAAGACGCTTCGGCTTCCGGTGTATCTTCTAGATGACACTCTTCGATAAGTGGCACATCGGAATCGTCAAGGCTTCTACGGTAGAAGTAGAGAGTCAGTGTGGGGATATTCCAGATTGCGGGGTGATTGGCCGAGCAATCCACTTACATGGCTTGAGGTCTACCATGAGCCATAGAAACCAAAACGTCATATTGATACAAGGTCCACCATAGCCTCCGCCATAGGCGCTTATCCATAACGTTAAGACCTGATGGTGTAGCATCCCGATGCATGCCCATTCCGTACGCCGTTCGAGCAGCAATACCGATCCAATACCATGAATTTGAGATGACATCCTCGAGGTCGTCGCATTGCCAAGTCAGAAGGATAGCAGCTTGTAGGTACGTTTCACGATGTTGCTCGAAACGACAGTCAAACAAAGCTTTCGCCCGCTTGAAGAAGACCGCCTTTAACGCCTTGAGCTCATCACGCTCGCTGGACAAGACGTGCGCCCCGACGAGTAGGATAGCATTCAGCAAAAGTAAAGATAACGGCCGTTGCCTAGCAAAATCCTCGCTGGTCTCTGTATTGTTGTACTTCTTCATGAAGAACTCTTCATCGACAATGGGAATGCCACGGTTGATGTGCATAAAGTAAGCCTGAACAAGTTTATCAGCCAAGGCCTTGGTGGGTAGTTCCAACGCTTCGGGCGGCACTGAAGACATCCTCGGGGCAAGAGGGTGACTCCCGAAATGTAGGACATTCTGATCGGGCCGTTGAGACCGCTGCCGAACGAGGTAGTTCAAGTTCGAGAACTCGGTCCCGATGAAGTAAAGTCTACCGCTTGGTAGAATATCTTGATATCCTGTCTCTTCTCGGTCAAGAAAATCAGCCAAATTTCGCGTTGCGACCTCAGTAGCGTAATGGGTCTGAGCATTGAGCTCGTTTCCTGGAGCCGATGCTGGCCGCGAGTCGACGTTGACTGGTACCCACGGACTGGCGGCATTCGATGCTGTTGGCGTGGTTGTGGGTCTAGAGCTCGGTGCTATTGCTGTCTTTGGCTGAATAGAGACATTGGGGCTCCGAGATACCCTTGTCGAGGACCTAGTCTTCTTCTTCTCAAAGATCCGACAGTCGGAAATGTTGTTTGCTTCGCATTTGGAGCATGGCGTGCCCTTTTCGAGGATGTCGCAACGCACTTTCCGTTGATGACACGTCACGCAGGCCCTGCCATCTAATTATCAGAGACAAGATTGTCGGTCAGAATGCCTCTTGAGAATGAAAAGAGAGTTGGGGGACAGGGGGTGCCATACTGGTTCTCGCTTTCTTCGACGCCTGGCCAGACGCCGATCCTGTCGGAGAAGATGCGCCTCTACGCCCTGCGGCTGACATGACTCAGTATTGGCGGTAAGCCGCCTTCTGGAAACTTATTTTCCGAGCGGGATCTAGATTCAATCACAGCATCTCAGGTGTGATGGCGCGCCTTTGACTGCGCTGACGCAAAGCTTGACGGATGTGGAGGCAATGTGGACTGGACTGGATATAAGTCGGAAGTTGTGGTGGATTATTCAAATACCGAGCAACGTGGCCTCGGGAGTTATGTCAGCAGAATTTGCAATCCCGGAAATACAAACCAATCAAATCTCTTTTCTCTTTTCACATGCCCTCAATCTCTTGTAGTGCGGAAACTTGGGCAGCTTCTTGTCGGACACTTTAACCAATTACAACTATGGAAAATGGCTTGTTCTACTTCCGAACGACTTGCGAAACATTGAATGCAGTAGGAAAATGGAACCAAATACGTAAAACAATCTAGCAGGGTCTTCCAGAAGTTTTTTCTTTTGTACGTTCGGGTAGCAATGGGCAAATATGGAGTTGCTTGGACATATAAGAGGAGCTGGGCAGTTCAGTGACAGTCTGAGTGACCAGGACTGCACAGACAAGACCACAACCACTTGGACGAACCTCATTGAGCAGACTTCAGACGCAAAGTACCCTCGAGGACTATAATGGATGCACGTCCGTTCGAATACGCAAACGAAGAAGATGGAGACCGGAAACAAGAATCCACCATGGCACGGGATGTTGAGTTGAGCGGCGACACTTCCGATGGCTCATCTCTGAAGGACACAACGGAGGATTTGCTGAACGCTACGACGTTATCGCCTGTAAGTGGCTCTTGCGTGGAGAAGTTTGGTATAACGATGTTCTTACTTTCTATTCTAGCTGCGCAAACTGCACATTGTTGTAGCGGGCTTTACCTGCACTTTCAATGGCAACCTCGGGTCATCCATGCCTTCAGGCGCACTTGACGCCATTAGCGAGCAATTCGGAGTTACCGACCGCGTCCATCTGATTCTTCTCAACTCGCTATTTATGTGCGGGTACGTGCTTGGGCCTCTGCTATTTGGGCCCTTGAGCGAGTACATCGGCAGACGACCGGTGCTGATCGGGACATACTGCGGATACATCATCTTCATGCTGGCCTGTTCTGGAGCACCAACCTACCCGGTGCTGTTACTTTTCCGTCTTCTTTGTGGCATCAACGCGGCAGCGCCAACAACGGTCATCGGTGGACTCTACGCCGATATCCTCGATAATCCCGCGGTTCGAGGAAACGCCATGGCACTTTACATGACAGTCACAACTGTCGGCCCACTCATCGGGCCCATTGTTTCGGGCTTCTCTTCTCCGATGTCCTGGCGATGGCCCTTCTGGATCGCCGGCATCCTTGGAGTATGCGGATTGCCTCTCGTTCTTACTCTGCCGGAGACATACGCGCCTGTTCTCCACAACAACGCAGTTAAGAGGCAGCTGAAACGAAACAAGGGTGCGGTTGATGGCAAACAGCAACAGCAACTGCAGTTACAGCCTTTCAACGTACGAAAGATCTTCCTCCGGCCCATGAAGCTCCTCTTCACCGAGCCAATCCTCATGGCGACATCTGCGTATCTGACGATGGCATACTCTGTATTTTACCTGTTATTTCAGGCCTATCCAGTCATCTTCAAAGACTTCTACGGCATGTCTCCCGGGATGGCCGGACTTGCGTTCCTACCTGGTAAGACGACGCCCATAATGCTACAATAGACGATGAAATGAGCTAACATATCTGCGAAGTTGTTCTTGGGGTGTTCTTTGCCCTTGCCATCTTCTACGCATGGACACATTATCACGATAAGCAATTTAAAGCCGGGGTGGAGTGGGCCTTGAAGCCTATTAATCGCAGACTACCTCTTGCATGTATTGCCGCTCCTCAGTATGTTTACCCTCCACGATCTCATACCTTAAACAAATGACAAGGAGCCACAACTAACAATCGCTTACGTAGAATGGTCATCGCTCTGTTCTGGCTTGGCTGGACCGTGTGGCCATCCACCTCCCCTGTCTTGCCTATGTTTAGCGGTGTACTTTTTGGCTGTGGATTCAATCTGCTCTTCATGGGCATGATCAACTACCTCACAGACGTTTTCCGGCAATATTCCGCTTCAGCACATGCAGCAGCCAGCATGACGCGCTCAATCGGAGCTATCACCCTGCCTCTGGCGGCAGGCAAGATGTATGGCAACCTTGGAGTTCATTGGGCTCCATCAGTTCTGGGCTTTATTGCCTTAGCCATGGGAGTAATCCCATTCATCTTTATCAGATTCGGCGATAGCCTCGCTCGGAGTAGCAAGACAGCACGAGAGGCGTTTGCCATTGGAAACTGAGATGGATAATTAACGAGCACATGATTATAGAGTAGTAATGATTAGACATAGACGATAGACATAATAATACTTATTCCAAAGCCTGAAACCCCCTTTCGAAAACTTCCCTCAATAGACTCACCTCAGAGAGTACCCAGCTCCGCGATTCCATGTTGGGAGATGCGGTCCCCCACAACATGATGCGTTGCTCCACCTAAGGTATTGTACTGTGGATAAGCCATTTTCCCGAAGCCGTTATTCTCCGAAGAGACACCATGGAGTGAACCAGACCTTTCATTTACTCAAATTGTTCGAGCTTGTGCTGCGATGATGAAGCTGTGGCTCAATAATCCTATACATGTCGTGGTTGTAGACACAAACACTATTGGAAGGGCGTTTCAGAGCACAAATGGCCTACGCGAAACACAATATACATCAGGAGCAATCGCACCATCATGGCAATACCTTGAACTATGGTCAGAGTAACCGATACGAGACTCTGCAGTAACGCAGGTCTCTTCTCTCATAGGGTATCAGTAACCTTTAAGAGCGAACAACAGGAGAGACTCCTTAATGTCAAATATCACATGGGTCTGAGGAATCAGAAAATGAAATTGGATGAACCGCTGAACCAAAATCTTTCCATTCTGTTCATCGACGCTGCCGTGCGCCGCATCGGGAGCGGGTGCCGTAACGGTCTGCAGACCCACTGAAACCCGGACTTCGGACTTCTTGGCATTGCCGAGGTGCGAGCTCATACACGGAGGACAGTACGGAAATGGTAAGTAATTCGCCGGATGGGCCACTTAGACCATAGGCCTAAGACTAATTACTTGATGGCTTAATCGTGACTTACGTATAGCATCTTCGTAGTAGTCCGCTGGAAAAACTGAGAATTATCAAGGGTTTGGCGTAGGAGAGTGAGAGTTCACATTAGGCGGTTCTTGCCAGGGAGACGAAGAGATATGTATTGTGCAGCTGAAGAACCTTTGTTCGGCCAATTAAATGAGCTTCTACATGCAAGTTGGCCGAGAAAGAGCTTCCAGTAGGCTCCCAGCCGGACAGATACCCAGAAGAGGCATGCCCATGTAATGCAGGTGTTCAAATAAGAATGTGGCTCAAAGACGGAGCCAGGATATACGGAATGATGATTCATAGATATCAACTCTGCTCTAACGAGCTAGAATTAGCGACATGCGTATAGTCTGTCTCTACGCTGACAGGTATCCGTCGCCAATGCGGATATGGGACGAGAGTACTTGCATATTATCGGGAAAGACTAGGGGCATGTTCTGCAAACCCCCATTCTCCACCCGCTAGTGTCGGAAAGGGATGTGCTGCCACGAGGTCTCAGCTTGGCAGACCGTTCCGAACCGTTATTCTCGATCTGCGTGTCAACATGCTCCCTAGGCAGATCGTTCAGGTAGCGATGTGGCTGATATGTAGCAAGCCCCTTGTCGCCAGACAATACCCCTGTGACCATCTCGTCGATGTTAAAGCTCAGCCTTTCCGTCCAACACCAAGGTTTCTCATGTACGCCATCAGTACGCAATATTCCTCTCCTGACCTAAGCCTCCAATCCAAAATCGCTTTTAGGCGAGGGCCTCTTGACGAAACAATGAGTGAAGGAAGAGGTGAGACAAAAATACTCAACCGCTCAAGCTTCTAGATTTAGTACTAACACCACCGATAAAGCTACATACGGATATGTCGACCCAAATTTCGTCAACCCTGGTGGGAAATGGGACACGCCAGTCATAATCTACGGCTACACTCCATCCTTCATCCTTACAGTACTCGCCGATGTCCTCTTCTTCCTCCTTCTCATCGTCCACACATGGCAGATCATCCGCTACCGCAGCTGGTACTTCGTAACCTTCCCAATCGGCCTCCTATTCGAAATCGTCGGCTACGTAGCCCGCTCTCTCTCCGCCAAAGCGAACCCGTATAACCTCATCTACTTCATTCTCAACTACTTCTTCATCGTCACGGCACCAGTCTTCCTCGCAGCCGGCATCTACGCGATTCTATCCGCTCTCATCAACCGTCTTGGGCGACAGTTCACGCCTTTGCCGCCTAAAGTGGTTTTGTGGTTCTTCATCACCTCGGACGCCATCGCAACCATCACGCAGATCTCGGGCGCCGCTTTGATCGGAGTCAAGCAGTCGCGCCGCGAGGACCCTACGACGGCCAACAATATTTTGCTTGGAGGACTTGCGTACCAGGTCTTTTCAATCGGATGTTTCGTCATCACTACGTCCATATTCCTCTTCAGAGCTCGAACAGCGATCAAAGAACATAGGCTTACTACTTTCGTGGCTGTGTTTTCGGGGGCGACGTTGTTGATTTACCTGCGTACCTGCTTCCGTCTTGCCGAAACTGCGGAGGGTCTTGGGGGTTACCTCTACTCGAATGAGGTTTTCTTTGGCGTGCTTGAGTTTGCGCCCGTGGTGTTGGCAGTGGTATTGCTTTCCATCTGGCACCCCGGGAGATGTGTAGCAAAGAAGGTCTCCGGTGGCGTTGATGATGCAGAAAAGGCTAGAGTACGCAGTCGTGAGTCTATTCAGAAATAGGTTCTTTAGCAAGGTCAAAGAGATAGAACGGGTTTCACTGTTTCTCGCCCAAAAGATGAGGGTAGCCGTTATTGATAAAGCTATTTATGCTCTGAATACCTAGTCCGAATCATCTACCCACACCTCAACACGGTGGATATCTTGCTGCCCCAGTCGTTTGCGCATCTACAGTTGCCCATAGCTTCTTCTCAAGCTCGGTTCCCTCCTCCACTGCCGCTTGCCCAAAGATTCCAAAGCCAGGCATGGGCTTCGGCTTCGATTCTAGAAACTTTCGACGAGCATCGAGAACCCAGTCGATGAGCTTCCGCAAATCATAGCTTTGACGAAGCCGTCTCTCCATAGTTCTCCGCGCGCGCGAGAAAGATCTAGATGCGGGCGACTTGTCGGTAGTCGACTCCATTTCTCTGGCCAAGATAACGAATCCCATGGGAACGTCATCCATATCATTGGACTGCGGATGGCGTGCGACAATATTTTCCATCGTCTGAAAAGCAAGCAAGAGGAACTCTTCAAGCCAGACCTTGATTGCGTCACGCCCACCTTGCTCCATGATCTCGGCAAGGCCAAATAAGACGCGCCGATGCTTTCCAAAAGTGACACTGTCCAGCTCGTCGTCGAATGAAAAGCCAGGAAGACCCTGCAAAGCGGCTCGTAACGGGTGCTGAACCTTGTACGCTGTAGGTGATTCTCCGAAAAAGGATCCTTCAGAGGTGTCCTCGCCGACGAGAAGTCGATCCAATTCGGAGGAAAGTCTCGAGTCCGCAGTCTTACTTTTCCACCGCCTTGACTTCTGCTTCTCCACCTTCGCGGATGTCTTGACATGTCTGTAGTGTTGCGCTGGGCTTGGCTTTCGGCTGGGCAGTCCGCGCGCACCTCGCTTGATGTCTCGCGTGATATTTCGCTGTGTTGATCCGTCTCGAATCAAGTTGCCGGTCGAAGCACCTTCTATTACACTGACTGGGGCCATGTAAGTTGACTCCGGTGCAGCCAGTCCTACGCTAGGATGAGAAGCAACAGGAGGCACAGCAGAATGAACCGGATTTTGGGTATTGCCCATGTCCATTTCGAAGTCTCTCGAATGACCAGTCGAGGCATTCATCTTGAATAATGTCTTAGTGTGGACACTGAATGGCTGACGGTATGAGTCGGTGGGGGTCAATGGTAGATGGGCTTGACTCATGGGCTAGTTTTCGTTTGTCGCATGCAAATTTTCCAGGGTCGTTTAACTCTGCCTGCAAATATGCGGCGAGTTCGACGCAATGACTAGCCGATCTTGGAAGTGAGAGATAGAAAGGAAGGAGGTTTCTCCCAAACCTTGGAGTGCGGTTTGGCGATAGTGCTAGTAAAAAGAAACGACGTTGAAGATGGGCGGGAAAGATGTCACATCGGGGAAAGTCAGAATTAAGCTCGCGGGTAGGGCTGTGGAATTTTGTGGGTCTTCGGGCTTGAAGACTCCACGGAAGAAGGGCGAGCCAGAGAGCCGGAGCTTAAGGAAGTGTTGGAAGAATGAGCAAGAAATGAGCAAAGGCATTCAAATAATGAGAAATTGGGTAGATGTTTGTGCTTTCTCATTTCATTACTCGTTATTTCTACCTATTTGACCATAGAATGGACCTGTCATGAGTCAATGGTGGTGGTGCTGGAAGAAAAGCAGACCCATATCGTGCTTAACCCAGTTCAAAAGAAAATGAAGTTTTGTTCAAAGAAGCTAGACCTGTTGCCTATTGAGAAATGTTTGTTGTGTCTGAGGAACCACAATCAAGTCGGCGTCACTGTCCAGGTAATACCAGCGATCGGCCTTTTCTGGCCTTGGAGCAGCAGGACCGATTCTGCTCTCTGCTGGGATGTTGAATTCGGCGGTTGTTGTCGCTTTATTTATAAAGCTGTTTGCGACGTCTGGCCGAGAGGTCTGGTTGTAATTGATTTCATTGGAGTCGACCTCTCCTCTAATCAATTCCGCCCAAGTCTTGTGGCTTTCCTCGACCACGCTTTGCATGTAGGTGACATTCTGGTACCAGTCCCCGATGATGTTGATGACTGGATCCCCCCGAGCTACTTTATAGTGCTGCGAAGTATTAGTTAGCACGACCTTTCACGGAATATGATAGGGAAAACCACAGTCCACCAGTTTCGGAATATCTTGATGGTCCCAGGGCGATACTTTTCAACATCTTCGAACGCTTTGTACAAGTCAGCTCACACAACTCTGTCTTCATAACTGGCTAATGGTCTTACTATTGATGATGGACGCCATGGGATCTTTGATGTCGATGCCGAGAATCTTCCAATCGGTTTCGTTGCCCTTTGCCAGACCCCCATTAGCACATCTCACATGACGGAACGACAATCCAAGTATCGTAGACTCACATCAGCTAAGGCAAGACCACCGAGAATCTTGACTTGTTTCACCTGACCAACGTAGCCGCGGCTGGATAAAGAGTTAGTCACTCAATGTTTGGTAGACGCAAGGCCTGATGAAGCCGTAGTCTGCCTATGACTTACTCTTGACCGATGTCGAAGAGATCTACGGGGTCGTTGTCCCCCAACAGGCTGGTAAAAGAGTGATTGTAATTCGGACTTTCCCAGGTTTGAGGGATAGACCCGTAGATGAAAGGGTAGGATTTGTGTGGCCACACATTCTCCACATATCTAGGAGCGCCATTAAGAGAGTCATGAACGATAGGATCTGGAACATAATGGCCATTAGCATAATGTGGTGTTTTCCTGTGAAAGATACCTACTCACTTAGAGGCTCGCTCCTCTTGAGTTCAATTTTGCCGTCTTGCCATCTGGGTACTTCAACCACAAGATTCACCACTTGCTTGTTGCTCTCATCCGGCCAGACTGGCACATCATGCCAAAAGGAAATGGGGTCACCGTCCTTTTCGAGCCAAACCCTCCAGTCCTAAAGTCGAGTGTTCAGCATGTAGGATAAGCTAAATTCGGTTGATGGGGCTGATCACCTCTGTGTTGCGGGCACCAACTTCCCTCAAGCTAAGGGCGTTGTAGTTAAAGCTGTAGGAGCTAGTCCAAGCAGCACTGCTCGAGACCGAAAGCGCCGCAAGGGCGAAGAAACATCTGCTCGACATGATTGCTCTCTTTGAATCAAGTCTCTATCGTGAGGTGGGATCATAAATCGTGTGCTCATGAGATAAGGTAGCGCCAAAGAAACACGCCACGGACTTGGAGTATTTTGTATGTCTACTGTGGCAAACCCACACTGCTTCAGTCTATCAAGGTAAGCTGTCCCCTACAGGGAAAAGGGGCTGAGAAACACGTCTATGTTTCTGTGGCGGGGACTGCCAGCAGGGAGGAAGGCTTGGCATAGGGACAGGCGTGAGAAGCTCTGACGTGAGGATTGGACGGGCTTGACGGGAAAAGATCAGATTGGAGATTTTGCATTGCAATCCAGGGATCCGCGCTGTCACTGTTGATGAGTTGGTGCGGAGATGGTTGGTTAGAGCCAAGGATACAGGGTTCATGAGACAGGCCAATGACGTAGAAAATGCAACGCACGTGGGAACGCTGTTGTTGTTCCAGCAGCAGAAAGGGGGATTTTCGTCATCGCGAATGAAAAATCCCATATGCTCAATTTGGCGGCCTTGTAACTGCAATGCATGGAGAGTCCTGCGAAAAATCGCCTATTCTTGCCCTCATCTGTGCTGTGCCGGCATTGATTGCCACACTGACGAGGATAGGAAGGTTACGGATGTACCGGTGGGTCTGCAGTAGGATTGTCTTGATCCCAATGTCCTCGGCCCCTAATCGGCCATGATGAGTTCCTTAGTATGCGTCTCTGATAGAGTTGTCGCCGTTCACTTAACCGTCAGATTGTCACTGACGAAGATTCTTCCAAGAAAATTCTTGATTGTGCACGTAACTCGAAGCCTGAGGCTAGCAGTTGACCACGTCTCCCGCAGGTGTCAACGCGATGGACAGAAAAAACCGCCAATATCACTGGAGAAAGTCGTGACTGATTGAATCACCAAGCAATCTTAGAGTCGAACATCTCAGTAGTGCCACTAGTAAATTTCTGGGCTATCGCTTGAGGCATGCGGCCATCAGGAGGCTACCGGGTATCAGAGAGCTGGACCTTCTTTTGAATATCTGACAGCAGGCTATCACTCACTCTGTGGTACAGATTTTGGATAGCACAGCAGGTCGTCTCAATGCCTTCCGCATGAATGTTTCACACAGAGACCGAGATTGAACACGTTGACAAGGGGTCCAGAGAAGCCTTCAGCATCGGTATCTGCCAAGAAGTCGAATGTGGTATGAAGGAGACTATGTTCATAATTATTTTGAGTTCTCTGGTCGGATCGACTTTCCAATTCAATCCAACCCACAGAACTCAATCACATCTGCTTCCGCCGTTGCTTAGCGTGGCACCACGACCCTGAGTGTGGGTACAACTGACTGAGCTTTGTTCCGCTCATAAGGCATGGAAGGCGTTATTCTGGTGCCGGTCAAGACTGGACTATCACAACTTTCGTCCGCATGTAAGACTGGAAGGAACAATTCATTTCGGGGAATCTTGTTCTCCTTCAGTTGCAAGAGCGCAGAGTGGGCAATGGCTACACGCCGCGGATGCCATCAAATGGTGACGTCAAGGCAGCCATGACGTGTTTGGTTTAGCGCACCATTGTCTCGCAAGGCATCACACCGGTATTTGCACATCATCCACGACATCCTCATCTCCAAAATGCTTCGCCAATCCGTTTCAACACAGAACATATCGATTCGAATGCTCAGGCGAAGTAATTTAACGTTACGAAGGCTCTGCCGTCTTGTGGTCTGGTCCCGCAACCCGCTTTCCCGTCGGCGGTTGCCACACAGTCTTGAACGTCTTAGCAGCATCACTATACCTACAGCATGGAAACACACGATAAGCCAAAAACTAGAGAAACATTCGTTTTCAATGAACGGCACGATCGATCTTTACTCATGCTATTGCTACAAGTCGCCATCAAACCCCTCAGGCCTAGGCTGGCATCCCCATCTAAGCTGCCGCCCAACGCGGAGCGTCTGACGCCACCCAAGAACCCACGGAAATGCCATATAGAAGAGAGAGAATTGGAGGGACTATGGCTGTATGACATCACTCAAAAATCGAATAGCAGGAGTGACAGAGAACTGAGTCCGCGGCGTCAGCGACGAATTTTGTACTTTGCCGGGGGAGGGTGGCAGATGCCACCGAGCAAGAATCATTGGACTTTCTGCATGGAACTTGTCCGACGGCTCGACAACACAACAGTTACGATCATCTCTGCACCTCTCGCACCGAAACACCCTGTCTCAGTTGCATTCCCTTGCATTCAAAGAGCGTACAGTTCTCTTCTAAGCGAATCACATGACGCCGGCGAAAGTGTGATTGTTGCCGGTGATAGTTCAGGCGGTAACATTGCACTAAGTCTCGTGGCTTGGACTTTGAAGCACCCAAATAAGGAGGTTGCGAACCCACCTGTTGCTGTAATAGCCATCAGCCCTACGGTAGACCTTCGTCATGAACTCCCAGAGATCAGAGTGGTGGAGAAATCCGATTCACTCCACACTTTCGAATCCATCAAAGCCACTGCTGAGGCATGGTGCCCCAAAGAGTCGAGCAAAACTTTGCAACGAAATCAAGGGGGCAATCATGTCTGCTACGACTGGGGATTGAATGATCCAAGAGTATCTCCCATACACGCCGATCTTGGGGTCTTTCTAAAACACAACGTCCGCATATATGGAGTATCTGGGTCATATGACGTGCTAGCACCCGAGGCTATTGCTTTCCGAAATAAGTGCAAGGAGCATGGGGTCTCTGGAGAATGGCTATCATGGGAAAGACAGATGCATTGTTTTCCTCTCATGTTCAAATATGGGCTCAAAGAGGGTAAGGAAGGCATGGACTGGATGATTCATGTTCTCGACAAGCACTGATGAGATATGGGCCTCAACAAAATACAGCAGTGACCAAAGCTGAGTCTCAGGAATCCCAACATGTCATGGGCGACTCACCAACCCTTCCTAAGTATCTACCTCGATAATATTTGGAATGAAAAAGTGCTCTTGATCCGATCTGTTCTTATTTAGGGCTCAATTTGCATGATGCCGAGCTACAATCCACTGGTAGTATTCTCTACAAATCTTTCCGTGTTCACCTTATCCATCCTTTTCGTGCTGAGTCGCCGTTCCCCTCTTGACATTCCCTTCTAATGGAATATTCGTAACTTTTGCCGCTTCAACGTCGAAGATGATCGCCACTTCTTCTCACGTATGACCTCGGGTTTCTGGGTGGAAGAAGTGTTTGATGATCGACCCAGCTAAGAAAATCATAAGAGATACAATGTAATGCTTCCAACCAATATGTTCGAGTGCAGGAGGATTGACTAAAATGTTGAGGAAGATTCTCAAGTACGTGGTCATTTGCGCCAGAGCTGCACCTCGAGCACGAAGTTCGGATGGCCAGATCTAGGATACAAGTAAACGTTAGCAGGCCACATACTTCTGTTGTGTTGCGTCGTCAACTTACAAGGCAATGTCGTAGAACCCGTGGAGGATAACAACACTGGGACCAGTGCCACACCGACTGATGGCGATTCAGTATCATCAAAGCTACCAGACAAGTCCGTAATGTCGGCGAAACTGACAAACGGTCCACCACAACTGGCAAGGAACAGCGGTCGACGCCCGAGTCGGGAAATCGAGAGAGCAGCTGATACAGCTAGGATGAGGTTCCAGATTTGCATGCAGCCGTTGATGAGCGTTTGATCTCTGACAGAGGTGATACCAATTGTATCTAGTACAGCCCCGAGGTAGTAAGACACGATGTTTTGCCCGGCCCACTGTCCAAGTACACCCAGCGACATTGAGATGAAACCTCTGTATCTCTTTCTCGGCGTGGAGAACAATCCTATCTTTGAAGAACTCTTGGCCACCATCTCATCGTCTTACTCGTTCGATCTCGGTCATCTCGAAGTCCACGAGAACAGAGCTTCGGTCTCCCCCGCCATGCAACTTGGCCAGTATGCTGCGAGACTTTCCAGTCCGGTTTTTGGAGACGAGAGGACGGGGCGAATCCGGGACGAGAATGGCGGCTGGGAGTACGAATAGCGGGATGGCAATCTGTAGCAATGATGGGATGCGCCAAGACCAGCAATTGTCGTGATTTCTGGTTCCGAAGGTCGCCCACGCCGCCAAGCTAGGTCTAACAAATCATCCAATGTTATAAAGCCTGTAGCACCATATCTCAGCGTTATTTTATTGACTTGCCTGAAGCCTCATGGTCAGAGCCAGCACCTACGCTCCGAGAATTCCCCGGTGCAATGGGTACGCCAACTCCGTGATAAGACCAGAGGCAAGACAACCCCACCAGATGCTCGGCTCGCCGAAGATAATACGACCGATGATGAATTTAGCCTTGTTCGGCGAGAAAGCTTGGAAAAAAGTAATCGATACAAAGAAAATCGATTCCTACAAAGAGTCCTTTTTTCCGGCCCCAGCGGTTAGCAAAGTAAACCACCACAAGATAAAGTAGGAAAGCATGGACGAAAGCGCCGGGGCGGCGTTGATGGAAACCGAGCCATTACCTCTTGGGGCAGTCCAGCAATGTCTGCCATCGAGGAAGAGTCAAGAGACCGTTCATCATTGATCCATCGCAACCGTTCGCTGCGCAGAGTAAGGCTAGAAAGATGCAATAGAAGTTGAGGTCTACGAGGTGTCGTTGCGTATATCACAGGGTTCCGTCGTCTGGGAGAACAGCGACGAGTAACGGGCTGGTGCCTAGGTTCTTACTGAAGAATCGAAATCTGCCAACCATAATGTCTACAAGTCAGAGTTGAAGAGTAAAGCTTTAAAGCTAAGGTATATGAGGAGAATGCCGACTCAACTGAAGGGCCTGGAAATGCGAGGAAGCGCAAAGAGAAGAAGACTTCTACGAAGTGTTGGCTTCTTTGCGTGAATCGTACTTTAGTCAAGTGCCTTCTCAACTCTGTGAGTGAAACTTTCTTAGAGTAGTAAAATACCAAGCGCCTTCCGCGACTTGATTGAGGTTTCTCTCCGGAGATATCTTGAAAAACTGAAGTCATGTCCGTGGAGTATCGGCATATTGCACCTTAAAGACGGGGTGTCGACCTGATCAGGGGTACTCAGTGTTACATGTCTACCAACATTTCCCGGTAGCCAACAGTCGCGTCTCCCAGGAAAAAACATTCTGGCGGGTAGTGTATCCTGAACTCAGAGCATGCGCACTTGTCAGTCTTCGGATGAGAGGCATCCCTGTAGCAGATGGGTGTTGTGGCGCGGGATGCGGGGGGTCTACAAAACTGTGTGGGGATTGATGTTGAAGAATCCCCGTTACATCTACCAATCCTGCGTTCTTTAAGCAGCAAGCATACCAGGGTATAATCATACCGTTTGAAAGACACATCAAGAGGATATGCAAAGTGACCGGGGATGAGCTGACTCGGCAAGTTCGGTCGTCACTAAACGTCCACCCCTGTCGTCGATTGGGAATATTGGCGTACCTCCTCTACGACGATGTCAGGAGATTTTCGGATCTTGCAGATGCGAGAACGGGACTTTAACAACGGCGGTGTGGGAAACTCGTCGCATCTAGCCGTATCCAAGCCTGTGTTTTTGGTATGCTAACCATAGTAAGGCAGTCTCTGGGCCCAGATGATGGTCAAACAATAACGAAATGAATGCCTTGAGATTAGCCTCGTCAAATCATGTCAGCTTGTGTCTTCATGTCTCGATGAGTAAACAGAAGCCGTAAGTATGCTGCCAGTTTGTCACAAGAAATCAACAATGTCACTTGAATCACTTCATAGTAACTTTACTTAGATGGAGAGCGTACTCATAACATGATACAGAGCAATCCTGATGGGGTTCTTCACATGTTAGAATTAGGGAAGACAAATACATGTTAGTCAAGTGTTGAGTTGGCTCTGCATCAACAAAACGGTATCTTGGCTCAATGGGCTGAATCTTCGTTCTCAGTGATATTTACCCCTGAGATGGTCACAGCGGACCTCCTGAGTCGTCGCTCGAGGTAGAGCCCTATTACGACAGCTTCCGTATCACACAGGAAAATGAAAGTATCTGCTAAATGTCGCACTTTCCCCCTGACGAGTCTGGCAAGCTCGAGCAACTAAGATTGAAGACAGGCCGCGAAACATCGCTATTCCTCGTGAGACCAAACTCTATGCCGTTCCTGACCTGATCAGCATTGGAGTCGATCAGAATGTACCAAAAGACATTCAAGCTCGTTTGAAAGAGGTCGCAGCCGACGCTGGTCCAGTAGAAACGAGCGTTCTCAACTGAGGCGACGGCAGCCCCTTGAGATTCGCCGGCTTGGGGAGGCAGTTAGCGTCCGAGACTATGTAAATCTTGAGATGTGATGCTGAGCGGGAGTCTTACCATGCGGCCATCCAGTTTCGGTGACCCACACCTCCTTGTCCTTCCCACAGACACTTGAACTTTGGGCAGCGATTTGCCTTGTTTGATCAAGAGCAGATATGAATAGGTCAGGGGCGTTTTCAATAGTATTGTTTTTGTCGGACTCCCAGTAGGGAAAGGAGTTGTGGCCGAGCCAGTCGGCGGCTTCCACAACGGCGGCATTTTCGGGTAGAATCCATGCAGTGTATGTGTCGACGTGTCCAATGGGTTTGTTTGCCAGGGGAGGTATGCTTTGCTTGATCAAACTTCGAAGGTCCGCAATGTACCCTACGATCACTTTCGCGTCGGCGCCCACGCCAACATATTTACCGGCCAGGCCGCTCGCATGCCGGTACAAATCTTCTGAGCCGACGGAAATGCCGATGACCAGGTTGGTGAAAGCCTCACCATACTGCATGTATGCGGCCGTAAGAGATCTTAGCTCATTGGTGTACATTTGGCTGCCGGCGCTGGCCCAAAGTCCGACCAGAATGTTGGTGTTGGTATCGATGGCAGCCTTGTAAGCCGAAGTGGGTTCAGCCCATGATGAGGTCGGATCATATGTATTGTTACACTGGATGGAAGTATATAGACGAGCCGAGGTGAAGTTTTTTCCATCCGCGCCGGCAAGTGTCTTCGCGTTCTGGAAGTAGCGTAAGAAATCATCGTAGCCCCTGCATGACCCATCTTCGTTTGTGGCGCCATAGTTGAATCCCAGGAGGCCCGGCTGGTTTCCTGCCAGGGCGGTAGTGGCCAAGGACACGGCAACTGCGGTCATCAGATACATCTTAGATAATCAGTTGGGATGGAGATAGCTGAGGATCATTCGAGAGATGGACGAAATCCGATTCTCTCCTATTCCCCCAGCAAGAGAGTACTAGGCAAGCATCTTAAACATGGTGGCCATCTCGGTTTTCTTTGTTAGCCACGAACAGAGCTGAGTCGAACAGTCTTCTTTGCTTGAAGCCCCACAAACTGCCACACCTTTGAACAGACCCCTTTTCTGTTGTATCTAGGAACACCTTCTTTGCTGTCGTTCTCTCAGTCTTCCGTGCGACGAAACCGTCAGGGCTAGTGACCCGAGCTACCTAGGAATTCATGCATCGTCCAGATCATTCCCTGAATATCGGCCAAGTTTCCTTGATCATGTCTCGATTGTAACATGGTTTTTATAAGGTAGTCAGCTGCTCAAACTGTGCAGGTGCTTCATCGAACCTTATGAGTGAATAAACCTTCGACACTGTACGAGTAGAGGAGTGAGAGATCGGGCCGGGTGAACATAAGGAAGGATCATCCGACGCGGGGCTAGCTCAGCGCATCTCGGGAATTGGCGACATCACAGGGCTTTGGAAGCAGCTATCGGAACAGCCAATGATGCATTAGCCGCACATATCATGCAAGGACGATGACCACAGTTAGCGCAGCCCCATACCCGAAGTGAAAAATGTGTGCTCCGAGAGGGTGTGAGAGGGCACATCCAGTCTTTCAAGGGCGCGGCCATCCGAACATACCTGAACTGATACATCTCCACGCCCGCCCCTGATTATACTTCGCGATGGCCTTGGTCCCAGTCGATGCGGACGCGCGGAAACATGGGTATACTTAGTATTACTCCATCATATACCGGGCCCTTGTCGGGAATTCCTGAATTTGAATCGTTTGACATGCCTCGCGGAGTCTAGGGTGAATTGGGAAGGTGAAAAGACATTGAAAGTCTAACGCAAAGAAAATTTCACCTGGATGAAGCATTGAAAGAGAGGCGAGTGGGCAGGAATGTGACAACAGAATCGATGTGGGTGGGCTGCGCCGCTGCGGGCGCTCTACGCTGGCTCTGCGGCCATAACGCAAGAGTCGCATATCTTTCTATCTCTGTCGGCACAGAAAGCGGAAGTGGATTCTAGTCGTCTCATCGACCACATTGGAAGTCGGTGAAGAGTGAGAAGAGGCCGCTCTGAAATACTGCCAGCCCAGTGATCACGTAGCGATAGGTAAGTAAGTAATTAATTAGATACTCAACACCATCGGGATGGTTACTACGGAGAAGCCACATAGAAGAAGAGGTGTGTTGGAAAGCAACGTAGTGCAAACGAGTATTTCCACGCCTTGTTATGGTGTTTAATCATGCTACAGGAATATAGAGAGCGAGGGGTGTCAGATTTTAATTTTAGTCTTTCCTCTCCTATTGAATTCGGGACCGTCTTGAACATCCAGTCATTAGAACCAATAAGTAAAAGAGTTCACCCCCCGGTGCTGAACTGGGTGCTACATCTCTTGGTGCTCATGCTGGGAAATTTCTGTTGCTCATTCCGGGATTCGAACTCGGGGTCTCGTATGGGCTTAGATTGTCGTCGAGTAGGCTGGTTGGCGAATTCAATTAATGGCCATGAACTACTTCACCACCCAGCCAGTTTGACCTGATCCGTCGACCTAGACAGGCGCCTGCTGGCTGGTGACGAGAATGGGCTCGAGGGGGGGTATATACCCTTCTGTCGTGGTAAGATGCGGCAAGGAAGCTATACACAAGGTTGTCCTGGCCGTACCTTCCTCTCCAGGTCCTCGACGAGCAAGGTGCCTAGAAGGATCATCACAAGACCGGAAATATCGCCATCAACTTGGATAGAATCGGGAAAGGGAATATAAAGCCAGCCTTGTGTGATACTAGTCCTGGGGAAAACTGCCCATATCTGTCCAAAGGTTTTGGGCAACACCCAGAGTCTTGGACGGAAGAACTTCGACCAAGGCAGCGAGATAAGGCGGTACCATGGCAGGTTAGTCACTGAAATTTGGGAGCTCTGGGCATGAAATCCCGTTGCCGACCTGAATGACACAAAATACGAAGACGACACAACATCATCCGAATTACTGTGGCAAAGGAAGATGGCAAAGCTTAATATCAATGGCTAAAGAGCACTCACCCGAGATGCGATAGCGAGCCTGTAGAGTATTTCAAGACCTCTAGAACGTTTTCACATAGACTGACTCTTCGTTAGCTGGCCGCTCTGACAGCGGCCAAATTTATACGAGGTCAGACGGCGGCACAGCAACTTGCCGACTCCCCAAGCGTCAAACTTGGATCAGAGGCGTTAGTGGGTGACACTGCAGCGACTTACTCGATCCTGTTTCTACATTGATTAGCCTCCACTGTTGGAGATGGTGCTGCTCCAATGCCGATTCCAGGTACTGCTACGCTGGCAACTGTTCTAACACAGCCTCTTTGTCCCGTCGGCAGCCTGTGCTGCATCACGGCGAGCCAGACCTCTTGGCGGCAACGAGGCCTCAGGTCTCGGTACACATTTTAAAGAAACGTTGGTTTCAGATAAATAAGGTTCGGGTGAAAGGAAAATGGTCACCAGATAATATCGAACTGTGAAGGTTTGTATTCCTGTTTATGGACGATTCGCCGGAGGTCAGCGATTCTTCTCCTCACTCTCTGCTGTCAGTCACCTGTAAAACACTCTAGTCCACAGGGCCTCAGCGCATCACACGAAGACTTGAACTGATTTCGATACGTCTCCCAGTTGATGTTATATGTTACTACCCGTCTTGAGGAAATATTGAGAAGACGCATAATGTATGATGCGAACGCCGAAAGGTGCTACAAGAAGGGCACAAACTCGCGCTCGTTTATGGAGTGTATGTAGCATATAAGATACGATGGCAAATGTAGAGAGACACTTCTTTATTCATTAAATAATCATGGGTTTTTCGATTTTAGGAGCCTGATAAAGTAGATGACAGGCAATTCACCTGGAGCGAACCTATGGATACCGTATTGGACTCCTTACATCGTTCTTCTTTGAGTCCTTACGCCAGTATCTCCATAGGCCTTTTCGCACAAATGACAACACCCCCATAGCCGGCCGATATCTCACATCTGGAAGCGATCGATGGCGAGCGCGAGCTCCTTAGCCTCACGCTTCTCCACGTTCTCCTCGCTGAAAGCAATCCAGCTGTCGACAGCCCGAATCAAGCCAACCATCTTCTTCGTGTATGTGTCCTCAAGGACGCTGAAACTGCTACCAGCGCCGCCATCATCACCATCAGCACCACCCTCGCCCTCCTTGGCCATCTCTCGCAAGTAAGCCTTCCGAGCTCGGACGAAGGCGCCAAGTATCTCCTGGCAGGTAGTAGTCTTGATGATATCGTCGGCCCAAGTTTCGGCTGGCCTTCCCTTGGCAATGGTCTGCTTGATGGAAACCTCGTGGGCAATGTTCACCCAGAAGCCCTGCGTGAATCCTCTCTGCTTAGGCAGCTCCCTGAAGAGGGTCTTGTCGGTGAACTGGTACTTGAATCGCTCGCACTCGTTCAGAATCATGCGCATGAAGTCGGCGATGCGGCCACCTTCACCTTGGAAGTTGGTGAGCTTGCCCTCGAGCTCGAGGTAGCGGCAGACATCGGTGGCGGCCTCCTTGCTCATGAAGTCGAGGGGTGAGAAGGAGAAGCCAGTTTTGAAGACGATGTGAACGATGGTCGGAAGACGGTTGGTCGCGATGAGGAGCTTGTCCCCGGCGGTGAGCATCGAGGATGGGACGTCGTACCAGTCCGTTCCGCTACCCGGTCTCGGGCCAGTGCTGGGTCCTGAGACTGTAATGTTCCCAGGGTGGTCAGTCCGATGCCTTGATTTTTTGTTGGCACCGAACAGGGAATGGGGCTGTTACTTACTTGCATTTCTGCGCAGGTGACGGAAGCTCTCCTTCTTCTCGCGGCGGCTGATGTAGACTGCGTTGTTTGGCTTCGTGGTCTTGCGGTAATATTTGAAGCTGTTGAACTTTGCGAACTGACGATCCATGGCGTGGCCATTTGGGATGGGAGAGTTTGTCTGGACAGCCGCGTTGGTGGCTTCGATCTTGTCGACTTCCATCTTTCCGGTAGAAGCCATGATGTATTGCGATACCTGCGAGTCTGATGAAGCTGGAAGCAATAGGGTCGAGATCGATGATTCTTCGTTGTGATTGTCTGACTCGGCAGTCTTCGAGTCTTGAGTACCGACTGCTGTGTGGTGTGACGGAAGAAAGGAATTTTTTCAAGAAGGTTCTGCAGGTTATTTCAACAAAGAAGGAGCTCAAAGATCTTAACCCTTCCCGCGGGACTGTTCAAGCACAAAGTCCATCATTCCTCGGGCCGTGGATGAATGGACTGATTGTCGAGGGTCCGCCAAGGCAACATCGAAGTGATTGCTCTGGAGAGGGGTCAGGGTAGGCGTGCTCGCTGCACGGTCCGAGAGTAACATTCGGCAGTAGGTTCAGACGACAGTTGTCCATGAAAGGTTGGTGATGATTTGGAAGACTTGCCGAGTGCGATGCTTTACAGTGTTGAGTTTTCACTTTGGCTTGGCGCAATGAAGGACAAAGATAGCTGAAGGTTCTCGAAAGTTGCGCCCACTTTCGGCAGATTATCCCTCAGCGTCGAAGAACCCCTGGGGGAGGAGTCCCAGACTTCAGGGGCTGGGGAAAAACCTTCAAGGAGTTCATCGATCAAGGCTTAGCGTTGTGCGGGCCGCCGCCCTGAAGCTTCGCCATCGATCCCCGAAGCCGCCGGCCTTCACTAAGGCAGTCTGCCGTTCGAGATCAGGCAACATTGAGTTACGCTAGAGTAAGAGAGCCCCATGGTCGGACCAGACGGATGGACAGAGGTGACCCAAGTGGAAGGAGACCTATCCGGGAAGGCTTTCGAGTTGTGATGAATGCCGGCCATTCTTGAAGATGAAGACAGATTCAATGGAACCAAGCCAATATGCCTTGCAGAAGTCTTCTTGGCAGTCTCTTTGATTGAAGCTGAAACTCGCGGGCACAGCAGGCCTAGACTAGAGAGCACGGTGCCGTTGTGCTAGCACTTTTAGGGCATACAAATCGTACCCAGAAAACGTTTTCATCCGCGAGACTTACAAAGGGGGCTTTTTATGGTAAAGGTTCAGCTACGATTGCAATCCAGAGCAGATAATTTTGATGGCGAGAGAGAGTAAACAAACAGAAACATGAGATCCATCTTTCTTCGCCGATTTCAAGTCCCTTTAAAAGCGGTTTACTACAATTCATGGTTCATTGCCGAGATAAGTGACATCCTTTACTGCGTCTAGGGCGCTAGATGTAGAGACTCGGCGCACGTGGGAGGTAAGTGAACCACCTAACCGGCCTATGAGGCTTCGGTTTCGATTATCTTGATGCCGATATAGGCTGCATTACATATTTACGAGTCCCTGACTTGTTGCTCAAGGTAGCGGCACTTGGGTTCCATAGGCATTGTTTGTGTTTTGCTAGAAGATAGGTAGACGGAGGTCTGTCAGACTATCAGGACCGTCAAATACCAGTCTTGGACGGCGTTTAGTGACTGTGGTGCTTACCTATCCTAGGTACTCCTTGCCACCAAAGTCAAGGGACTGGCCTAAGTATGTGGGCAACACTGGTCCATGGCGCAGCCCTCGGACTGCCAGGCTGTCCAAATAAAGGTAAATTTACCGACGTACAGACTTGAAGCTTTATTGTACCTAGGTAGCTAGTAGTGACTCGGAAAGTGGGAAAGCGACCCGTAGCAGTCTTGCCGAATCACGAGAATTACCTCGGGCATCATCTCAATTTCCCCTCCTCTGGCGATATAGATATTCGGTTTACCTTTTTCTGTCATCGGAGGATTTATTGTCTGATGAATTTCGAGCTGTTTTCCGGTGATTGAAAATAACTTTTGCTTCTTCATTTCGCCCCGCGTTGTTTGCTGACTGAGGTGCTACAAGCACGTTCACGGAGTACATCAAAGTCGACCTGGGCACAGATCTTCCGCAACGCCTAAGGGGGATCGCTAGTTCAACTGTCTCTGTTTGTCTACCCATGGAATAAGAGTAAGTTTCTGTATACATTAAGATTTTCGGAACGCAACCCAAGCAAAACTACCCGGTCTCCGACGAGGAGCAAGAAATAGAATGAGACCGAATAGTGAGGAGCAAAAGCAAGGTCAGCAAGCACCAGTGCGAGCCGTGCCGTAGTTTAGCAACAGTCCAGGATTCAAGACTTGGCCGCATCTGGTTCGTGCGGTTTGCCTAGTAGAATGAACCGTGGTCATCTGCCACTCCTCGCAGCGATAAGAGCGCCTGTTTGTCATATATCAGATTTCGTACACGAAACATCCTAGGATTGGAGTCGAAACTCTCGCCATTTCCTTCCTAGTTGTGCCATTTCTATCCGTAGACTCTAATGAACACGAAGGCGCCAGCGGTGTGGCTGGTTCTGCGCCCGTGAGAAACCTCAATTGGCATTTCCAAATCCCGATGCCCGTCTCTCAGCCTACGCCATACCTTTGGGGAAGATAATTTATTCACAAGAGTCAATGCTGTCAGGTCGGCCATTCGAGTAGTGGCACGACCCGTCGAGTGCGCACTGATGATGGCATTTGCTTCTCCGACGGCAACTGAACTTCTTCCTAGGCCCGGACTTGATGGAATTAGGGTGGGGCAATAACTCCGGGTAGGGCAGTCAAACGGATGTTAACAGCATTTCCCCTGCCGTCTGGGAGCGTGGATGGCGCGAGAAGAGTTTGAACAGCTTCGGCAAAACGGGCACGGCTCGAATTCGGGCTGGTATTTGTCTGCGGGCGACCGACACGCGTCAGCAGGTTAGCCTAGGTGTATTTCCCTCGACTGGAATGCTCAGGTAATTCGTTCGTGGCTTTTGAAGAAAACTACATCATAACAAGCCTCAAGTTGGACGGAGGTAGGCATACAGCGAACTTTAAAGCGAAGCCCTTATGCCAGTAGAGACACTTGCCCGTGGCATTCTGAAAAACGTTGAGTGACTTACCGTCAACGACATTACGTTCACTCATGAGAAATTGGGGCAATGTCTGATCAACAAAGAAATAACCTCGGATCGTAGCGCGTGTGATAGGTTGCGTAGCGTGTGACGGGACGTCGTTGGGGCGTCCAAGTATCGGCCCGCGGCGGCCCGCACTGTCAAGCACCGACGGCGTCTTCACCTTACCTACCTCGGTGAGTCCGGCACACCGAAGCATGGACACCTCACCCATCCGCCCCACCGAGAGCTCTTCTCGAGCGTCATCTCCCATCGATGAACCCGGCCAAAGCTCGTCGCGTCAGTAAGCACTACTCTTTCTGCTCTTGGCCACGCGAAGTTTGCAACTGCCCCGACAATATTTACCCAAGACTTTTTCTATCCAACGGACTTGAGCCTGCAAAGGTTACCGCCCGTCTCAACAACAAAATGTTTGCAAGCCGCGCCACCACGAGGTCGCGGCTAGCTCTCCGCACAACTCGTCCACCAACAACGAAACCATCCTTGCGTCATACCTCGACGAACTCTTCCTCTTCTTCCTCTCGAGCGGCAGACCGCATCCTCGATCGCGTCCCCCTCCGCTTCCAAAAATACACCACCGGCCTCCGCAAAGCGCCCGTCTCGCACGTTGTCGCCTTCCTGATCCTCCACGAAATCACCGCCGTCGTGCCCCTCCTCGGCCTCTTCGGCTTCTTCCACTACACAAACTTTTTACCGCTCGAGTACGTAACGGGCCACTGGGCGGGATACGTCAGGGATGGTGTGGGTATGGCGGAGAGGTATTTTAGTAGGAAGGGGTGGTTTGGGTTCGAGGCCCAGGACCGCGGAACGATGACGGGGCAGTTGGAGGGGGACGGTGAGGTTGAGAGCACGCAGGATGTGCTGGAGAAGTGGCAGAGGGATGGCAAGTACAAGGTTGTGGTGGAGGTTGCTATGGCTTGGGCTATTACGAAGGCGCTGCTGCCAGCGAGGATCCTCGTCAGCGTGTGGGGGACGCCGTGGTTTGCGGGTGTCATGGGCAGGGGACGTGGATTGTTCAGATCCAGTCGGTAGTCACGGTTGAAGGTCTCAAAAATCACATTACACTCCTGGAAGCATATGGGCTCTTTGATTGTGCTTTTTGATTGACCTATAACTTTTCCTTATCAACCTAACATGGCGACATGCATCCCACCCGTGCGGCAAGCGTACGGTGGACGTCTACGGCTCGTGTATAGTGGCGGAATAGAGAACAAGCATTTAAGGCTTCTCGTAGATCCAGTCGAACTGGGAGGCCTTGTAGGAGACGACATCGCCATCCTTGAACCAGAGGGCAATCTCCTTCTTGGCGTTCTCGACGGAGTCGGAGCCGTGGCAGACGTTGCGGCCGACGTCGATGGCGTAGTCGCCACGGATGGTGCCGGGGGCGGAGGCAAGGGGGTTGGTGGCACCGAGAAGGACTGTGAGGTGTGTATTAGCATGAGGTTATTCGACTGAAGGGGTGTGTAGAGGATTGGTGAGGGACTTACCACGACCGGTCTTGACGGCGTCACGGCCCTCCCAGACCATGGCGCAGATGGGGCCAGAGTTCATGTCTGCGAGGATGTAAGCTTGGAATCACGCTGGGCGAGGCATTGGGGATGGAACATACACTCAATGAGACCAGCGAAGAAGGGCTTGTCCTTGAGGTCGGCGTCTATTGGGAAGAGTTAGTTCTGCTTTGCGAGGGATGCGAGAGGAAGTAACGAACAGTGGGCCTGGAGGTGCTCCTTGCCGGGGGTCATGAGCTTGATGGCGACGAGCTTGAAGCTGAAGGAGACATGTTAGAGATGACAAACTTGCCCAGAGTGAGTAGGGCATCATCTGGAATAAAACTTACCCACGGGTCTCGAAGCGAGAGACGATGGGGCCGATCAGGCCGCGCTGTGGGAGAGTCAGCTTGCTGTGCCTGGCAATTGGCAAGTACCAGATGAGAAGGAGCGTACCTGAACGCCGTCAGGCTTGATGGCAATGAAGCTATTTCAGGGTCAGCTTTTTTTGTTCTGTTTCGTGGTGGTGATGTGTGCCCCTCTTCTGCCCGAAACCTCCCACGATGGCGGGGTAATTTCAGGGTAGTGACAGGAGCTCAAAGAAAAGCAAGTAGCATTGGAGTGCATTGCTAGCTTAATGGGCAGGGAGTTAGAAAGGGATTGAGGTGTGTACTCACGTCTGCTCGGTAGACATTTTGGGAGAGGTATCAACGACGACTTTGGGAGTTGAAGATGGTTGATGTTCTTGGTAGATTGTGGTGGTGACAATGGAAGGGGCGACGGGAGGAGAAGAAAGGTCTGCTGCTGACCGCTGGTTTTGTTGGCTCGAGGAAAAAATTATGTACAAACCGAAGAGGAGAGCGAGAATTATGAAAGTTGGTGGGGGCAGCTTCTCTGCTGTCCTGCGGGCGTACTCGGGGAAGCTTGCATTTGCATTATTCTGCTGCGGCTTCTTGTGCTTCGAGGCGGGGTCGTTGTCCTGCGCGCCGCCGCTGTGGTGGTGGGGTCCCGAGTCTGCCATTGGATGAAAGCAAGTACTATGTACCTAAGGTGCTTAGGTAGAAACGTGGTGAAAAGGTGTGGAGATTGCTGTACCGAGCTTCTGATACGGCAGTTTTGGAACTGTGAAGCCAGACCGCCTAGTTTTTATTTTGACAGCTCAGCACTCATGGCAACCAAAAGGTGGAGGTTCACCGTGATTCTAAAGAGAGGGTGAGGTGGGTGAGGTGTGAAATGGCATTGAACCAAGGGGAAGGTTCCTTACCTATAGCACTTGAAATACAAAACGCCAAGCTCAAGTTTCTTTTCTTTGGATCGTCACATGCAATTGATCTTGCATTTCGCTCAAGAGAAGCTCAAAAGTCGTGCAGTTTTGGGTTGATACATAAGTAAATAATCATGGTGCGGGTTGATTGAGATCCTGATTGTCAGGTACGAATCAGGTACCTATCTTCCGGCTTACCGCATCTCGGATAATCTCTTAAGTGACACAGCGGGACCCATGTGATTTAATCGGTTATCCAGGATAAGGCACCTCTATGTCTTTTGTGGGCCCTGCTCATCCTTCCCAGTCCCACTATTTCAATCTGTCACTGCCACTTCACTTGACATCAAAAGAGACTTGACAGAAAGCTGATTTCCTGCTCACGCGTATCGTCGTTCTCGACATGACTAGTGACGTTACCAGTGAAGACAAAGTTTTCCTTGAACTCATTATACAAAGGCCAGTTTGTACCGTTGACTATGAAGCTCAGCGTCAGCAGCCATGCTGTCGAGGCCTGCGGTAGACCACACTTACCTGATCCATTGCTATTCGGGTCACCAGTTGCCACAAAACTAGCCCACGCCGTTGCCATGATGGAAGCTAGTTCGGAGAAAGACTGAGGCTTGTCTTGCAGAGGCCACACGTCGTAGTCGTCTCTGCTTTGGTCGTCGAAGACGAAGAAGATCTCTTTCGCATGCGTTGCGCCAATGTAGCGAGGCAATCCGCTGACGATGACATCCCATCGATACTTGTAAAGACTGAATGCCAATTGGTTGATAAGTCAGCAATTTTTATAACATCAGTGCGGGTATACTTACGGCACGTTGTACGCCGCCCACATCTGAGCCGTGTAACGAGTGGGCGCGATGATGTTAGAGTCACCAGCGAGCGTAACAGCTCTCTTATATTGGTAGCCGAGTTCAGCACCAAGATCGTCCGGGTATGTGGCTAGAGCCTGGTCCGTTGCGTTTTGGCGGTATATGTCGAACACTCTACTTGCAACCGTCTCGTTGGCTTTGAGCGAAGCAATGTAGTCCCTAAACTGCTCATCCGTGTCGATCTTGGACGTTGGATAGAACGTGGCATTATCAAAGTTGTTCCCTGGGATAAAGGCAGATCCTTCGTCTGTGTTGTGGCCGATTATGTATGGAACTTTGACGAAGTTGCCCTTGGCCAGCTGCGCTCCTGGGGCATCGGCAACAAAGTCGCCATCAAAGACTTGGACTTCTTAACCCAAACTCGATAACAATCAAACATGTGACTACTCACCTAGTCCATAGGAAGCCCCTGAAGTGGCTGTAGAATTGACCACGGCATTCAAAACCTCGATTGGGACGTTCCGCAGACAATTGAGTGCATCTGTCGTGCTGCAGCCTATGCCGACTGTGATGTTCTCGTAGACTTCGTCCCACTTTGCGACGTCGAGAACTGTAGCGGATCACTTCATCAGTCAAAGAGTCGTAGCCTGGCAGATTGTGACTTACATGGGGAGAATGGCGAGAAACCAGCAGGGGCTCCCGACTGAGAAATGGCACCTCTGAACAGTCCGTCATCGCGCCCATTGTACGCCAGAAGTTGGGCACCGACAGAACCCGCACCCCTAGAGACAAAAATTCATATGCTCAGTTTCCATGTTTTCATTGAGGGCTCTCGGAAAGTCCATAGAACATACGCGCTGTTACCGAATATGGTTACTTTGGTAGGATCTCCTCCAAAGGCAGCGATGTTTTCTACGGACGAGTTAGCTGAGAACGTCTCATCAAGCACTTCAACAGCTACGACTTCCCTTGTACCCAATTTAGTGCCAATCTTTGATCCCTAAAGCCAAGGTTCGCAGCTCCAGCAGCCACGATTTCAGACCCTCCTAGAAAGCCGAAGGCGGAAAGACGATAGTTGAAACTAACGCCAATGATGGGCTTCCCAGCTGCAACAGAGTCCCGAATGATGGACGAGAAGTTCAACCGGGGATCGGCGCTGCCACCTTGGAAGTAGCCTCCACCGTAGATGTACACGGCAACTGGCAGCGACTGGTCTGTATAGTTGGAAGGACGAGCGACGTTGATGCTCAGACAGTCCTCAGAGATCTTGAAGCCAAGTGCCGCGAGCCTGTTGTTGTCATTCTATGGCAAGGTTAGCAAGCCCATCCTGTACATGTGGTTGTTTCAGCGATGAGTATGGTGATTCGGCCGCGTAAACGTACACCATAGCCATAGCAAATGTTGCCGAATTGAGTAGCGTCTCTCGATCCAGTCCAGGAGGTGTTCAGTGAAGCTGGTGGTGAGAATCGAAGGGGACCTTGAACAGGCGGCTGGGCGAACGGCATGCCTAGGAAGTAGTCTTGGTTGAGTAAAGGCAGATGAACGCCTGTATAAGAGCCATTTCTAGTTTGGACTTGTGGTGCCTTTTGACAGAGGCCACCAGACAGCCCGGCGAGTAGCAAAAGCAGCATGCGCGCCATGTTCACGTCCGGATGAATGATTCTAACTATAATCAAGTACGATTTCCACAGAGTTTTGCGTCTATTATATTGCTGTCATTCGTGCATCGTGGGCAGAAGATCACATTTCATCGTAATCGCTGTCCTGAAAATCGTCACAGTTCTTGACTCGCAACCCTGTCTTGATGACTGTTTCTTGGTCATTTCCGTATCGCTTAGAGCAAGAACTACTGGATCTCCTTCTCAATCGAGCAACTTGCAGGCTACTTTGATGCTTTCGAATGATAGCTCATCAAATTGATCAACCAAGCCTTTCCGAGACGTCCGCTTTGTGCCGCCATATCCGGCAATTATGTCCGGCAATTGTTCGTGGAATCGTATCAGACGTTCTTGCGATGGTGATGCGGATCATGAGATGGTGAACGACCGAGCCAACCCGGCTCTGCTGGATCCACCCATTCCACAACCACCGCGTGGGCCAGCATGAACCAGATCTCGAAGAACGAGCATGTGTAGTAGTGAGGACATAACGTGATATCATCCCTGAAGAAGCTCACGATCTCAGACAAAATCAGGAAGGCGCTCATAGACGTTTCGCCCTCAAGCGTGCCTGACCATACCATCCATCGCAGGGGTATGACATTGCCCAAAAGTATCGTGTAGGCGCATATCTCGCAGGTTTATAGATACAAGGCACCATCAGCCTTTCCTCATAGAAAGTGGCCGAGACCCTACGAACATTGCCATCCGTATGTGGTCTGGAAGTTGTCTACTTCAATGGCGGGGTAAATATTCGGTCAGTAAGGTCTATGCACCTATCCGTTTTCCAATATTCGATTAAACCTGTCTTCTTCGATAGGCCCCTGTCTCCCGCAGCAAGCGACTCGAGCTAAGCCCAAAGTGGAGCTAGTCAAGGGGACAGCTGTTGAACTCAAGCGGCGTCTCACCTTCACAAGTACCTTCCACCCAAACGTCACCAATTCCTCCCACCCAACCCGATTCAAAGTGTACCAAAACCAACCACAAACGCGCGACGCGAGAGCACTACAAAGAAGAACCGCCTTCTTTTTGCTCTCATCCCCATGTTCGCTTCTTGATTCCAGAGTTTCTTGCAGCAGTTCGTTCAATCCTTTCGGACAAACACACAATCACCACACCCCTCCGCCATGGGGACCATCGGCAAGTCGTCCTACAAATGGACGACCTTCTTTGGTCTACTGGCGGCACTTAGCTGCATGATCCAGCCCGCAGGTAAGGACTCCCGTGACGCAATGACCTTTCTTTTACCTCACTTGTGTTGAATTCACGCTGCTTGGTTCCCCCAACTGCTTGACTTAGTGATACTGACAAGACAATCGCAGTCATGGTTAAGGAAAATGACTTCAAGAAGTGCCACCAATCTGGCTTCTGCAAGCGCAATCGCGAGTATGCCGATAACGCTGTCTCCCAGTCCTCGACCTGGGCCCCTCCCTACAATATCCTCCCCGACTCTGCCTCACTCAAAGACGGCCAACTCCAGGCTGTAATCCTCAAGACCATCAACGATGCCCAGGAAACCGTCCGCCTCCCCATCACCGTTTCCTTCCTCGAATCCGGCACCGCTCGTGTGACCGTTGACGAAGAGAAGCGCCAAAAGGGAGAAATCGAGCTGCGAAACAACAGCCCTGCCCGCAAGGAGCGCTACAATGAAGCCGAAAAGCACGTCATTGTTGGTGGCTTGAACCTCGACAAGGAGGCCAAGATCGCCTACCAGGATAAGGACCAGATCACCATTCAGTACGGCCCCTCTTCCAAACTCGAGGCTGTCATCAAGTTCTCGCCCTTCAGTGTCGACTTCAAGCGTGATGGATCTTCCCACATCAAGCTCAACGATCGCGGTCTGCTCAATATGGAGCACTGGCGCCCCAAGGTCGACAAGCCCGCCGAGGAAAAGAAAGAGGGCGAAGAGAACGCTGAGAAGGCCGAATCCACCGAAGTCAAGCAGGAGGACGAGAGCACCTGGTGGGACGAGACGTTTGGCGGCAACACCGACTCCAAGCCCCGTGGTCCCGAGAGTGTCGCCCTCGACATCTCATTCGTCGGATACGAGCACGTTTTCGGTATCCCTGAGCACGCTGGTCCTCTGTCTCTGAAGGAGACCCGTGGCGGTGATGGCAAGTACTCCGAGCCCTACAGACTTTACAACTCCGACGTCTTCGAGTACGTCCTCGACAGCCCCATGACTCTCTACGGAGCGATTCCTCTCATGCAGGCGCACCGCAAGGACTCCACTGTCGGTGTCTTCTGGCTCAACGGCGCTGAGACCTGGATTGACATCACTAAGGAGAAGGGCTCATCCAACCCCTTAGCTCTTGGCGTTGGCTCCAAGACCAACACGAAGACCCACTGGATCTCAGAGGCCGGTATTCTCGACGTCTTCATCTTCCTGGGCCCGACCCCTAAGGATATCTCCAAGACTTATGGGGAGCTCACCGGTACCACCGCCATGCCCCAGGAGTTTTCTCTCGGCTACCACCAGTGCCGTTGGAACTACATCTCCGATGATGATGTCAAGGACGTTGACCGCAAGTTTGATAAGTTCAAGATCCCCTACGACGTCATTTGGCTCGATATTGAGTACACCGATGGCAAGAAGTACTTCACCTGGGACGCCGACATGTTCAAGGACCCTATCGGCATGGGCAAGGCTCTTGATGAGCACGGCAGAAACCTTGTGGTTATCATCGATCCCCATATTAAGAACGAGGGGAAGTACGATATCACCGAGCAAATGAACTCCAAGGGCCTAGCCGTCTTGAACAAGGAGGGCAAGCCTTTCGAGGGTTGGTGCTGGCCTGGTTCTTCGCACTGGGTCGATTGCTTCAACCCCAAGGCCGTCGAGTGGTGGGCTGGCCTCTTCGACTACGCCGCTTTCAAGGGCACCATGGAGAACACATTCATCTGGAACGACATGAACGAGCCCTCTGTGTTTAATGGACCTGAGGTTACCATGCCCAAGGACAACATTCACCACGGAAACTGGGAGCACCGTGATGTGCACAACATCAACGGCATGACCTTCCACAACGCCACCTTTGAGGCTCTCCTCACTCGCAAGAAGGGCGAGCTCCGCAGACCTTTCGTCCTTACCCGCTCCTTCTACGCTGGCTCTCAGCGTCTCGGTGCCATGTGGACAGGAGACAACCAGGCATCGTGGGAGCACCTGGGCGCTGCCGTTCCCATGATTTTGAACCAGGGCATTTCCGGATTTCCCTTTGCTGGCGCCGATGTTGGAGGCTTTTTCGGTAACCCCGAGCCTGAGCTGATGGCACGCTGGTACCAGGGCGGAGCTTTCTACCCCTTCTTCCGTGGCCACGCTCACATTGATGCTCGTCGCCGCGAGCCTTACATGCTTGCGGAGCCGTTCAGAGGCATCCTCACTGCCGCCATCCGCCTTCGCTACAGCTTGATGCCTTCGTGGTACACTGCCTTCTTCCACGCCCATCGCGACGGCAGCCCGATTGTTCGTCCCATGTTCTGGACCAACCCCACGGAGGAGTCTGGCTTCGCCATTGACGATCAGCTGTTCGTCGGATCGACTGGTCTTCTCCACAAGCCCGTTGTTGAGAAGGACAAGGAGTCTGTCGACATCTATATTCCTGATGACGAAGTGTACTACGACTACTTTACCTACGAAAAGCTTGCCACCAAGAAGGGTCAGTATCTCACCAGGGACGTCGCCCTCGACCAGATCGCGCTTCTCATGCGTGGTGGCCACATCTTCCCTCGCCGTGATCGCCCCCGCCGTTCGGCTAAGCTCATGCGCTTCGACGACTACACCCTCGTCATCAGCGTTGGCAAAGATGGCCAGGCCGAGGGTGAGCTGTACGTCGATGACGGAGACTCTTTCGACTTCGAGAAGGGCCAGTACATCTACCGCAAGTTCAAGCTTGACGGCAAAACCATTGCATCCTCTGATGCCGAGGGCCGTGACTCCAAGTCTACCAAGGAGGGTTCCTGGCTCAAGGCCATGAAGGAGGTTTACGTCGACAAGATCATTGTTGTTGGTGCTACCAACCAGCTCAACAAGAAGGAGGTTACTGTCACGTCAGAGGGCAAGAGCTGGACTGTCCCTGTTCAGTACCACGCTGCCGAGAAGGGCCGCGCCGCCTACGCAGTTGTAGGCAGAGTTGCTGCCCGTGTTGGAGAGGACTTCAGCATCGCGTTGGCTTGAGACCGTACAAGGATACGAGTCCACCGTCCGAGGATGAGGAGACATACTTGAGCTGGCGCAACACCTCTGACGTGCTTCATTGTTGGATTCTTCGCCTGGGATGTCCTGAACGGCAGACTCGACGATCAGGAGACGGGAAAACGACGAAGACGCCTGAGCGGTGAAGCACACTAAGAATAGACACAGTGAGCTCCACTGATCGCCACAAGGGCTGATGATCGAGAGACTTCACAAGTCATTGGAGCGCTCCATTAGAGAGAGAATTGACGAACACATTCATAAAGATTGCTTGACTTGAGCATAAACCCCTTGCCCCTTTGTGACTCCGTGCGATCTCGGTTAGTTAATCTAGAACTGGGTCGGTGGCTTGTGGGTGGAACGGTGCAACATCGGTCGGGGCTCCTCCGCTGCAGTGGATAGACTTCGTGGAGCCTCATTCCCAAGATTTTCCGCTCCCCTCCGCCCCCGAGTTCCGCCTGGAAACAATCCACGATGGCGTGAGTTCTGGCTCTATAACTCCACATGTCCGAGGGGCCTGTTAAGCTTAGCACAGCCTCGCTCGCTTGCGATGGGCTTGATTTCCCTGGTGGACCTCTGCATGGCGAGATGCTTAGGGGTAGCGGCTACAGCCTACAAACATCTTGTCCTGGATGACGACTTGGTTTCTGCGATGGGAAGGGCTCGCTCAATGCGCTAAATGTTGAGGCCAACCTTCTAGAGGGAGAGCGAGTTGCTCGCCTAGTTCGTAAACATTAGAGAATCACCTGTAAGATGCTTAGAATTGCGATTCCTACTCCATAGGTAACCC